TACCAACTACCTATGGCTGTTGTAAAGGTTAAATGACATACCCAAAAGCACCTTTAAAAGTGCCGGCACATGGCAAGTACTTAGTCCTATTTTTCCCTCCTTTCATGGGTTAGGAGACTCTAGGAGAGTGGTGAAGCTCTTAAGTCACAATTCCTAGGCTTGAATTCTTCTTCCTTCTCTAACTCCAGCAAATTGCTTCAACTCTTTGAGCCTGTTTAAAAAATGGGATTAATATTAGAGCATACCTCATAAGAACCTATCCTGAAAATGTTTTAAAGATCTTAAAACAGCCCAGATGGTGTGCTTCAGTGGTTAAGCATTCACCCATGAACCAAGAGGTCACCGGTGCTGTCCATTCCCAGTCAGGGCACATGCCTGGGTTACAGGCTTGATTCCCAGTAGGGGGCATGCAGAAGGCAGCTAATCAATGTTTCTCATCAATATTTCTATCTCTTTATTCCTCTCCCTTCCCCTCTCTCTCAAATCAATAAAAACATATTTTTAAAAATCTTAGAACAATGCATGGCTATGAGGAAGCACTCAACACATTAGTTGCTTTTCTAGAGTTGCAGATTTCCAATGTCCTGGGAAATAGAACTTGAAAATAAGGGGGGCAGAAATTTAGTTGCCTATATTACAGAAGTTGCTGTTGAATGAATGAATGAATGAATGAATGAATGACATATACCAGTATACATTAAAAACAAATACTATAGTCAATCTCTATAAAGTACTAATAAATGATATAGATTAGGAAGGCAACAAGAATTCAAAAGCTTTATAGATCACTGTGGACTAGGGTCTTAATTAGGGAGTTCAACTTGGGAAGGCAGATGATATACTGGGAAGGTAATATCTTGAGTCAAGGTAAATGAAAAGGCTGTGTAAACATGAGAAAAATGCAATCAAATTTCAAACTGACTAATGTTCTATGCCTTTTCACTATCATTCTCTCACCATGTAGGAAGCCCCTCCTATTTGCCCATCACTGAGCTTGACCTTGTAGCCACTGAGACAAACAGGACACATGCCTTGCTCTCAAGAATCTCAAGGAATGAGGGGAAGGCCAACTAAAAGGCAGATGATACCAGGAGAGGGTGCTAAAGCTGCCATGGAGCAAGGCACAAATTATTCTCGAAGAACACAGGAAAGGGACTTAACTCAGCCTCACAGGACAGGACCAGAAGGGAGGGGGAAAATGGGTTCCCCTTAATAAAGCAATAATTATAATAAAACATCAAAAATTATCAAACATATATATGCTAGTACGTAATAACTATTTTTATCATTTTCCTGATTAGGACACAGAGAATCAAAGAGGATGAGTAACCTCGAAATAGTAACACAGTTAGTAACCAAGCAAACCTTGATTTGGGCACTTGGACTTCAAACACAGTACTCTCAACCACTCTCCTATTTGGCCTCTATAAACAGTAATATTCTGACTTATGGTGCCTTTCAGCAACAAATGAAAAAACAAACAAACAAATAAGCCTCTCCTTGGTATAGTACACTTGTTGGCAGCAGAATTTTCAGTCTTTTTATTTAAATGCCCAGCTGGACAGACACAGATGGGAATCCCTTTTAACCAAAAAAGGTAGCTGATTTGGGAAGCACTAGCCCCAACAACTGAAATGACGCTGGAAAATGACTTGCTCTTAACTAGAGGCCTCATAATAGGAGAAACCAATTCCCTTTCCAAAGCTCACCTGGACCATATTCTTCATACTGCACCCTGCAGTTTAACCCATCACTGACTTCATAGCCAGAGGGATTCCCACTTCCTATAAACTGTGTTCAAAGGAAGTAAGAAACTCCAAATCCTGATAGGCTTATTTCTTGATGAGAGTGCTGCTTTTGCCTCAGATTCATTCACGTGCAGTGGGAAGAACTATTCAAATGACAAGAGTTAAATTCAAAACATGTAGCCGCTTTCTGTTATATTTTTTTTTCTGACTGAAAGCAAACCATTTAGATGTTTGTTTCCAAAAAGGCATCTGTCAGCAATCAAAGGGGAAAAATGCATAAAGCAAATGCAATTGTTTGGAGTAGCGTTTCCTGGATCATGTTAAATGCTTGAATTGCTCCCCTTTCTGCTCACCAAATAATTTTATTTTCCACAATAATTGCAATATTTAACATGTTTTATTTAATCTTGTTTTAAGGCTATTAACAACTGGTCACACTGTGAAAAAGCTTGCTCTATGGGAACAGAGAGCTTCCACCAGCCTCTTAGAGAATAATGATAAAGTTAAATGCACCTAATGGTTCTGGATGCAAAACACTATTATTCAATAATATTTATCATTCCTTTGTTTAAAAACGACTTGGCCATCTCCTGTAATATCTCTCCGGGAATTCCATCATTCACAAAGTGAAATCTGGACTCCAGTGTACCTTGTGCCCCATTCATTCATAAGTAATGGATGTGCCTAGGGTGTTCCAGTTCTCAGAAACGCAGCGGCTCAAATAAGAGACACCTCCAACTTCAGGAGTTGCTGCAGGACAAACTTAGAAATTGGAGGGCCGTGGGCCCACGAGTCCAAAAGGTGCATGTGCCTTTTTGCCTTGGAAGGATGCTAAAAAAAACTCTCTACAGCAAAGAAACTTCAGTTTATTTTTGACCAAACAGCTATTTGCCTGATGCTAACTCATTAAAAAGGATGAAATGAAATAGGGAGTTGATTCAAAGACAGAAAACTGCTTTATTTCTTTTTTTTTTCACTACTCCCCCCCTCCCCTTTTTTTGTGCTATTTTACATTCTATATCGAATTTCCAACATTTTCCCCTTTCATTGGCTCAATAGTAAACTGAAGAAAGACGAGGTCATCTTAATGACGCTTCGGTTACACCAGGCAACACACGTTTTGCCTGGCAAGCTCAGGACGCGACCCTGACAGAATGTCCTTTTGCTTCTAGACACCGAAGGTAACTGAACATTTCCTGTGCTAATGCAGACTCTTTTTCTGGATGGAGAAGTGATGCCAGAGTCATAAAAAATACAAAGATGCTTCTAAAAGTAATGACATTATCCATATTTGATGATAATTCTCAATATCGCCTCCTAACTCCATATTATTAGAAGAAACCCCATTACAATCAGATATAAGAAAGAAATGCCTTATTTATTGTCTTTGTGGCTCATGCTGCAGTAGCAGCATGTGCATCTTGCTTTAAATTATAAAACATTTCAGGTGCAACTGGATACATTTTGCCTTATTAAAATTATTTTTGCCCAAGCAGCTATTTACCTGATGCTAACTCGTTAAAATAACACCTGCTGAGGAAGAGGTCAGAGATAGGAGGGGAGAAGCCACCACATTTAACCTCTTTCGAACTTAAAATGTGTCCTAAATAAGTTTATCTAAATATTCAATAAAAACTGCCACTAGAAAAAAATCCCCTGGATAGTTAGACTGTAAATGCACAACTTGGTAAATAACCACAGTTCAATAGCCCTGACAAATGCTGTAAATAAATTCCTCCATGCTCCGGACGGAGCCCCTATACACGGTCTGCAGGGTAGAGAAGGTGAGGTCACTGCTAGGTTCTTAGGGATTAGGGAATCACTTATATTGTTTTTAAAAAATAGAAATTATCTGGTGTACTGCTTTTATACAGTTGTTTTTGCAGTTCCTAATTTCACACAGTTTGAGTGGAAGAAATATAAATACAAAGCATTCTCCCTACTTTTTGCTCCCTTCAGTCTTGAAGTAAAATGACTTGAAATTCAGCATTATCTGGACTTCTCACTTTAAAAAAAAAAAGTCATTTTTATAGCCATTCTTATGGGTAGATCCATGTTGTGGTTTATTTATTCCAGTAAAGAGAGGATATGTGGTCAAAACCCCTGTGATGAAGATGGCGTGGCTACAGTAAAAAAAAAAAAAAAAAAAATCAGATGTAATTTTCCCTGAATGAGGAAGTCCTCATGTCAAGTTTAAGCCAGAATTGTGTGAAAGTGAATTGATCATGACTGATCACCTTGACTTACAAAGAATGGAAAAGCCCAGAATTAATTTTTACAAAAAGGAGGGGCACCAAAAAATAGAGATGGTGACTAACCTTGCTCCAGCTAGAACAAGTAAAATATCAGTAATGTATTTCCTCACCTAAAAACACATCTAAAAACAATGCCAGCCGAAACCCAAAATCAAAGGACTTGAGCATTGTCCTCTGTGCTTTAGTTCCTTCACAGCAAAATTAACTAATGAATTATTTTTTTTTAAATAGGCTAATGAAGAAGAAATGTTTTTTCTAGGTTTTTCTTTTTTCCTTTTTGTTTTTTCCTTCTTGGAAAACCTGTTCAGCTGTACCCAGATTTAGTTTTAGACTTTTCACGTTGCTTCCAAAGAGATGTGTAAGACAGGAAAACTAAACTGAACATTTTTAAATGCACAGCTCACGTTCTTGGGGAAAGTGGCTGTGAAAAACAGATACCGAATCAGACTTAAAGTCGAAGGGGGGGGGGGGGGGGGAGGTTGGGGAGAAAAAAAAAAAAAAAAAAAAAAAAAGCCCAAAACATTGCATGATAGTCTCTAAGCAGTTCCATCTGTCAAGCAGAAATTTTAGGCTAATAGCCTGTGGCGATCTCCCTCCGCAGTCCACTACCTGCCTTTGTCCTATTAAATCTCTTTATTCTCCTTAAAAAAAAAAAAAAAAAAAAAAAAAAAGAGGGGGGATTGGTTGTTGGAAGGAAAGGAAAAACCTTGCAGACCAAAATCATCTGAGTGATGAAGCCCTAATTTTAACCGCCTCTTTGATGTGTAGCAGTGGGGTTTTTTGTTTTTTAAGGAGAGAGGAGACAGTGCTAGGAGCAGAAGACTTTTCATCTCCACTTCACCTTGCCACTGGGTCTGTGAGAGATTGGTTCATTGTCAAGGAGATTTTTTTTTTTACCCATGATTCCATATGGTATGGACCGGACTACATGTTGCCCCACATGCCACTGCAAATGTTTTCTCAATTAGGTGTCTTATCTCCCGTGAGTTAGCATCAGATGAAGCTTGCTGACAGCGTAATGGCAGGGAAAGCTTCCGACGGCTCCATCAAATGGCAGCTTTGCTACGACATCTCGGCCAGAACTTGGTGGATGGTGAGTTGGCAGCCGGGGCTGCTTTTTTTTTTTTTTTTTTTCCCCTTTCCTACTTTCCCTCCCTCTTTGACAAAATGTCCCAGACCTCACATTCATCAAATTCACATTTGATTTTTTTCACACTCTTCAGTGCGGCAGCCTCACACTGCTTCCTCTTGCCATCCTTTCTCTGCCACTCTGCAACTTGCGTTCCCAGGAATACTTGCCCTGCATTTCCATGGGACAGTGTTTGGGAGTTGTTATTTATGTGGCTTTTGGTCTGTTTGGTTTACGTTTTTTTTTAAAAAAAAAAAAAAAAAAAAAAAAAAAAAAAAAAAAAAAAGAGCATCAGAAGTTTTAAGGTAGAGGTGAATATTGTAACCAAATCAGTCTTGGGGTAAAAATATACATATATATATATGTAGCATTTGTCCTGACCCTTGGGTTTTGCTCCCTCTCTCTAGCTTCACATTCCCTTTACTTTTGTTTTCAGGGACTATGCGGTGCATGGTTTTTCTTTGGCTGTGGTATTTTCTGAGGATGTGTGTTGGGCGCTGGGTAGAAGCAAGCCCTGAATGAATTTGAGTCCTATCCCATTAATTGGACTGCCTGAAGTCACCTGTGAGGGAACTCGGGGTTCCCCAATCCCTCTTTTCCATCTGGGGACCCTTTGTTGTCACCTAACTTTCCCCTGTTTATGTCCTAGCAGGTCTAACGTGTCTAAGTTAGAGTGGAAAAGACCCATGAGAGGAAAAGACCCATGCATTCTATCTCCTAGTTATTCTGGGTACAAATAAAGTTTTAATAAAGTTCTAGCATGGGGCCACAGAATGAGTTAACTCACATGTCGTGGTCAACCAGGCCAGACAACCTTTGACATCTTGGATCTATAAGAGGTAGAGCGAGTTGGGAGGATGTACAATGGCTTATTGTCACGGGAGATGCAAGTCCCGTGAGGAGGAGAGTCCTCAAGTCATTACCGCCCTCGTTAGGGTGGTGTCCGTTAAGGATTAATTTGTTAGCAGTGCATTTCTAGTTTTCTGTAATTATTATTCTTGAGGCAAGCATGAATTCTTCCAGGGATTGAAAAAAAAAAAAAAGTTCGCTGCCAGGACAATGAATGTATTATCCGTTCCTAACTGGACCGTGAACTTCAGCTCATTTCACATAGATATCAGTTTAAGAAGAAGAAAAAAAGAGAGAGAGAGAGAGTGGTGTTGAAGGGGGAGAGTAGCGAATGGAATTACAAGACAGAACTTGGTCAGTTTCACTGTGTGATCTACGGAAAGAGTTCTTTCCCCTTCTGGACCTGTGGTGCTATCATTTTGGCAAGTTTTAGGAACTCTGAGGACTGAGAAACTATTAAAAGTGAGCGACCGCAGGATTCTGTTCGGCTGCTGGTTGGGGTGCAGAGTGTCCATTCCTAAGGACTCTTGAGTTAAGGTGGTCATGGGTATGTTGTATGTGCGTGTTTTAACTTGTAATTTCTTAGCTAGACTTTTCTGGTGGTTTCAGGACAATGCTACTTTCAGCTTTTGGTTCATTAGACTAGTGGTAGTCTCACCACTTAGATCTGAACTTTTTATTCAGGGCACTCGTGTTCCCAGTAGAGTTTCTGCCAGCGAGAACAAGGTTTACTTGTATGCTGTGATGTTGCCTATCACTTTTGTCTTATGTAGTTTGTTAAACACTAGAAATGAATACACTGATTGGTTTAGCTATTATTTTCGAAGCTAAGTTGTAAGCTTTAAAAAAACAAAAACAAATGCATGCTAATGTCATATTCTGGGCGACATTCTACTTCCTTGTATTTCAAGAGCTCATAGATTTTGTAGCCTGTTACTTTTATGGTAAAACTGTGTGTCATTTTTTTTTCTTGCAATGATCACCAAATGCTCCTCATTTTTTAACTTGGAGCACCGTCATTTCTTTTTGGAAAAGTGTCCCTGGAAATTCCTTTTCATTTAAAAGTATTTTACAGATGTTTTACCACCAGGAATATAAAATACAAAAGCGGTGGAAACATTTCGCAATACAGTTGACTAAAAATAAACACTGCCGTAAGCTCACATGCTGCTGTTCAGGCTGCATACTCCAGGAAGTTTCTCTCAACTTCAATTCCTCTAGATCTTTGCTTTGCAAGAGGGTGAGAAATCAGAGTGCTTTTTTAAAAAGTTGCAGAAGTTGCCATAGAGAATAAATCAATTTCCTCTTCCTCTCAAAGGTGACCAGTAGCACAGAGCTTTAGATCTGCCCCTTACAAATAATTCCAATGCAAACGTCCCATAATTAATGGGAAATGGAGGGCTTAGATGAAGGGGAGAGGGATTCCTTTAAAAAAAAAACAAATTTCACATTTCTCTTAGCTCTTCTCTTTCCCTGGAATAGCATTCAGTCCCTCTCCCTCCCTAACTCCACCTTGCTACTCAAAACAATTTTCTCCAACTCAAAAGAAAAATCTAAACTTGCCCCTGATTGGTAGGATGTTTTGTTTTTAACCAAAGGATAGCACAAGTTCTGAGTTTCACACTAAAGGCAAAGAAAGCTTTAAAATTACCTCATGCGTCATCCGGCTGCACAGACTCCGGCTGCAGAGTGGGAGCCTCCGGCTGGTCCTCCCGGCATACAAAGGCAACGCAGTGAATGCCCCCTCCACCCGCAGGCTCGGCCTCAGCTGCCAGCACCAGGACATGCAATTTTGCTTTTTAATGAATCGTAAACAATTTGTATGGCAAATGAGTTTGTTTGTTTTAGTTTGGGGGGCATATGTTGGGCCAGGTTGTAGACAGCCATTGCCTACTCCAAGATTTTAGGTGAGAAGGAAGAGAGCTTCATTTCACTTTTATCCCTCTAAGATAGAAAGGCCCCGCTAGAATGAAAGAAACTGGTTAATAAAAGGCTGAGAATAACAACCCCTCTTCTCTTTCCCCTCACTCCCTTGTCCCCCTCTCCATCCCCACCCCCTCTCATAATGCCCGAGGCTTACAGTAGGGGTTTGACTGCACTTTTTGATAACTGAGTGGAGATCAGTTGACTAAATTAATTGGGGATTTTTTAAAGGATAAATTTTAGCTTTGTCTTTAAAAGGCTACTTTTGTTTAAGAAACAATTGTTTTAAAATGTGAAATACTAAGAAGGGCCTTCTATATCTTCTATGGCACTTTCTTTTTCCTTCGGTTGATGTCGTTCTTAGGAACATAGGTCATAAAATATGCTAAACACACTTTTGATATCAAAATGGAGGGAGAAAGGGGTCTTGATATCCAAAAGTCCAATGAAAACTTCTATTCTAACCCCTGGAGTTGTAAACAACTTAGACGTTAACAAGCGGCCAGGGTTCGAGCATGCACATTTTAACAGTAATTACCTTTGGCACTGCCACTTATGAGAAATCTTTTGATATCTGAGCCACCTCTCTATAATGCTTTAATCATGCAAATCAAGGAATAGATATTACGTATCAACTTCATCTAGCTATGTTGTGACATCTCTATTTGAAACCTTCCGACAGAAAGCTAAAGAAAACTCTCATGAAATTTTCCTCCATGCCAAGTGCAATGGAAGGACCCTGGGTCATTATATGCTTCAGAATTTAATTCTGTTCAGTGGGATTACCTTCATTCTGCCTACATAGCATTACATTGAAGGCAGAATAAGCATTTTCCTCTTCTTAATGATTTCCTGATAACAGGGTATCACAGGACTATTTTTATGTGAATTACAAAATTCATTTGTCTTGCTTCTGCGACCCAATTTAAAAATGTATAATGACTATGAAATGAAGGCTCTTAAACTACCCTGCTACGCCCCCCCCTCATTGCATGCTATGTTCCCAAGCATCTCTTTAGAAATCGCCATACAATTTTTCAATCAATAAGTATTTGTCACTTAATCCAAATTCTTCCAACTCAGACTTTGTATACCAGAAAAGTATTTGGGCAGGAAGGATATGCTATGCCTTTTAAAGATGATAGATAGATAGATAGATAGATAGATAGATAGATAGATAGATGTGTATATGTATAAATTAGCAAACTTTGGTAAAGTAGTTATTGTATTCAACAATAAAAAATAAAAAAAATAAAAACCTCTCAACTCTAGTCTACTTCCCAAAGGATTGGCAGCCCTAAATGCTGCAGACACAAACTAAGAATTCATATTTCATGCAAACCTTTTGTTGTTATTTGCTTGGATTTATACCTTGAACTGTATTTACCATTTCAATTTTTAAAATGTTAATTCTCAACTGAACAACTTTTGTTAGTGTTTGTGTCCCTTACTCCTTTGAGGGCATTCTAATATTTTCCTGAGCATTTGTGCTAGCTCTTTCATGATGGTGATTAAAATTACTTGGAAATTGTATAGTGGCTATAAACAAAAAGAATAAAAATAAGGGAATTCTGTAAATAATAAATCATATCATATTCTCAGCACCCAGTATACTTTCAAAAGAAAGTGTCCATGATAAAAACATGTTTTATACACATTCTATTTCAAGCATTGTGCTTATTTTTGAATGCACTGTTGTCTTATTTTCATCTAGCATTATAAATATGCATGACTATATTACTTTATAAGAATATGCATTAATTTCAAAAGTTTCTGTACACTCCACACATTATTTTGTCACAGTATTAACAATTTTTCATTTCAGGCAAAATCTGAATGAAATGGCTTTTTATTTTTGTCTACATACATTAAGAAATTATCCTTATCATTTTCTTCTAGATTAGCCTTATACTTCTTTTAAAGTATCATTTACGTACTTAGAGAGAAACAAGTACATTAAACTCCATTTCTGAGGTTTTTTTTCTTTAAATCAAATTATGATCCAAATGCACTTCATTCGGAAATGTGATTGGATACTTAAGCTAGCCTATGTAGTTCTACTATCTTTTTAAAAATCTTGACTTCCTGTTATTACACTCATATTTCTCCTGTGAACTTTAGACAGTAAAATAAATGCTTTGTCCTTATTTTCTAGTAGATTTTCCTTCACCTGTCCTGAATATTGTCAGGAA